AAGTAGTCGGTTCCCCATTTGATAGCATTGCGCATATTCTCCAACTCCCCGGCCTTTTGGTAGGCATCCTCGTAGTCTACCAGACCCCAGGACAGGATTGTCATCGTGGCCGCCATCGGGAAACCAAACTTCACTAAATCTCCGGCTATTTATTTAAGTAATAATTTGTATTTAATTTTCTTTTTATAACTTCATCCAAAAGTCATACCATCGAAGTAACCGCCCGTCAGGTCTTTTCCCACGGTCTTCCCGTCGTCCAGCATAGAGTCCCCCCTCCAGGGAATCCTCTTATTTGCCGGTAATTTACCAGATCTCTGGGCCTCATAGAAGAGTAGGGAGGCGTGAATAACGGCGCTATAGTTATAGTTCCCGTTCCCTACACCTCTGGCTAATTCTGGCTGAGCTTTATATGTGGAGTACCCATATATGCTGGATACCAGTGCGCTTACACATAATGTGAAAAGAACTTGGTTCATTTTTNTTTACATTTTAATATTTATAATTTAATTACTTATATATACCTTCATGTACAGTGCAATGAACACTAACAGCTATATCATTAGGAAAATATGTAATTATCAACAGATTTAACACCAATTTTGCTGAATAGTGTACTTTATTATCGCACTTTTCATCTCTAATCACACTTTTTGCCCAACATTTCAATAATTTTTGCGAATCACTCGTGACTTTAATTCCCGTAAAATTGTATCTCTCTATCGATATGTTGTACTTATTTTTAGGTACTTTACATACAATCCTGAGACAACAAATGAGTTTTTAATTTAATTTTAATTGTTATCTTAAACCTAATTATATCACAGATTTGTATACATATTGCCGATGTTTTAAGTTATGATTTGTATTTTAAGTTTTATAAAGTATTGCAGTTTTGTTAATTTTAAATGCACTGGTAAATTATCTAATTTTATTTAACTAAATATTTTAAAACTATTTGGCATTCCATAAAAAAAGCTTTTTAGCATATATTTTAATAAAAGGAAATGTATGTATCAAATGGTATGTTGCGAAACATGGAAATTATGTGAAATACAATACTATAATAGGAACAATATTATTGTAATATAATTATAATAGAAACTTCTAATATGTACTTTATATTTTTGTAGCTAAATATATCTATATTTAGAAATTCCTAAATTGCATAAAATTTATAATTTATTTAATAAAAACCTTGAAAACATTTGTTAACTTACAATAAGCAAGTTTACGCGATATAAGTTTTAATCAAAAACCTATACTTTATTTGAAATCCTTTTACCGATAAAAAAGATTATAAAAGTGTCAATTGGTTATTTTAATTTACGTTAACAGGGCAACAAGTTACTTTTGAAAAATAAATTTAATATACTGTATGCATTGATAAATAGTGCTGTATTTTAATATATTTTCATTAAGTTGACCAGTAGGTGCTTATGCACTAAAATGACATAGTACATATTTAGAAGTGGCATCCGTGAAGGGGAAATCAAATTCAAAATAGATAACATTAATGTTAGTTTATTAAATAACCTTTTACACAATCCCTGATAACCCTCTAATGTAGTAAATACCGTATTATTTTGTACGCATACACTTGCCAAGTTCTCATACAAACTTCCATTATACAGTACTTAATAACTTTCCCTGATAATAAAATATCCTTCAGAGTTGGTATATAAGGGACAACTTATCTCATTGAAAAGGTCTGTAGTGATTGAGTTTTAATTCACAATAATATTATTTATTAACACAAAAATGAACCAAGTTCTTTTCACATTATGTGTAGGCGCACTGGTATCCAGCATATATGCGTACTCCACATATAAAGCTCAGCCAGAATTAGCCAGAGGTGTAGGGAACGGGAACTATAACTATAGCGCCGTTATTCACGCCTCCCTACTCTTCTATGAGGCCCAGAGATCGGGTAAATTACCCGCAGATAAAAGGATTCCCTGGAGGGGGGACTCTATGCTGGACGACGGGAAGACCGTGGGAAAGGACCTGACGGGCGGTTACTTCGATGGTATGACTTTTGGATGAAGTTATAAAAAGAAAATTAAATAAAAATTATTACTTTAATAAATAGCCGGAGATTTAGTGAAGTTTGGTTTCCCGATGGCGGCCACGATGACAATCCTGTCCTGGGGTCTGGTAGACTACGAGGATGCCTACCAAAAGGCCGGGGAGTTGGAGAATATGCGCAATGCTATCAAATGGGGAACCGACTACTTTTTGAAAGTAATATAAAATTATTTTAAATTAGAAATTTATATTTAATTGATTATTAATATGGTTTTTATATAGTGTCACACAAGCGATAATGAATTCTACGGACAGGTAGGCAATGGTAATAAAGATCACGCCGTGTGGGGTCGACCTGAGGACTGGCCTAAAACGGGGAAGGTTAGACCCGCTTATAAGGTCACGACCGCACAGGGAGGTATTGTAATCTTTATGACAATTAATTTAAAGTTATATTAAATTTATTTTACATTTTATTACAATTTGTGTCAAAATAGGCACCGATTTATTGGGCGAGACATCGGCAGCACTGGCGGCGGCGTCCATAGCCTTCGCGAAGTCTGATCCGACATATTCCGCGACACTTCTAACTCACGCCAAGTCTTTGTACACCTTTGCGGACAAACATCGGTCCACTTATACGGCAGAGATCACAGACGCAGCAAATTTCTACAAGTCTTGGTCCGGCTTTGGCGATGAGTTGGCCTGGGCTGCCACGTGGCTGCTCAGGGCTACCAATGATAGCCATTATAAGGCCGAAGTGGACAAACACTTCAATGAATTCGGAAAACAATTGATGGGAAAGTCTACACAGTTTGGATGGGATGATAAGACCGCTGGAGTACAGGTGCTGTTGGCTGAGGTGACCGGCGATCAGAAGTATAAGACTTTGGCCCAAACTTTCTGCGATTGGATCGTCAATACGGCTCCCAAAACACCAAAAGGTATTCAAATATACAGTAAATAATATAAATTAATTCAAATTATCATAATTATATACTTTTTAAGGTATGGTGTACCTGGATCAATGGGGCACACTTAGACACGCCGGTAATGTGGCATTCGTTTGCCTCCAGGTATTTATAGAGCTTTAGACAATTATGATAAAAAATATATTTATAATCAATTTGTTTGCTATAAAAGGCGGCAAAAGTGGGCGTCAATCCGGACGCCTACCGAAAGTTTGGTGAAAAGCAAATCGGATACATATTAGGCGATACGGGCAGGAGTTTTGTGGTGGGCGTAGGGGTTAACCCACCCGCCCATCCCCATCACAGAGCGTCGTACGATAAAAAATGACATCTAATTTATAATTGAATTCAAAACAATGTCATTATAACTGTTTTATTT